ATCTTATTATTTATCAATCTTTATTTAAGATAATTATTATGATAATGTTTCAACACTTTTTGTACTTTTTAATATTTATTTTTTTAATTTGCAGTAATAGGCTAAACATATATCTCTAAAGAAGGTTCTAAACTTTTAAATTGTCTATTCTTTAAAAGTGGTGAATATAGGGATGATTTTCTATTATCATATTCTTCTTAACTCTCTAATTCAGGTTATAATCCATAGCTAATTACGTAGAAAATTAAAATGAATCAAACACAATTATTTAAAATCATTTGTTGCATCTATAACTGTGCTTGTAAATAAATGTTATCTCTCAATTAAATAAAATTATATATTATTTTTATTATACAATTTTGTGTATAAACAAGCTTGAGCTACTCCTTAAAAAGATATAACAAAAGAGCTGATTTTCCAAAATCTACTTAAGAATTCATTTATAATAATTATTAAAGTCAAACACACCATTAATTTTATAAATTTACTAAATCAATTCATATAATTATATTGTATTATTAAAATTTCATAATTCTGAAATTCTTTAGAGTATTTACATTTATCCATTTGATCCAGGAACAGATTCAGATGAAAATAGCGTAACACATTAGGAGAATGTTATCTATTAATGACTATATGGATCAATTATATTTAAATATCTTTAAATATCCAAATCATTAGCATCAAAATTTAAAACATCAATGAGATTTCTAAATTCATTCTAACATAATTAAATTTATATACTTCATCAATTATTCCATTAAGATCTGTATCCATCTCTTTAAATATTACTATAAATTTTTTTAAATATTTTTCAGGAGATTTAAGTTAAAAATCCAAAATTATTTTTTAAAATACTTAATATTCTAATTTATATTTATCCTTCTCTTATAATAACAATAATTATTCTTCTCTTGCAAATCTTCTAGCATTTGGTTTTTGTGGTACAATATAATATTACTTTAATTTATCTAATAATAATTCTGAATCCTCTTAATTATACATGTATTTAATTATATCAACTGCCTCCTCTTCATATAATTATCCATTAATTCTTTAATTACGCATTTCTTTTATTTCAGCTTAATGTTTCAATGGATGTTTCCCTCTTAGATACATCTAAAATTATCATCAAAGTTACTAAATACTTTTAATAATTCCTACATCGTATTCTTAACTTAAGTTTAAAAAAATCGAAATTTTTCATCACATTCATTCCTTAAAATCTTACCAAAAACAGCTATATCATTATCTTCAGTAGCATATTTCTTAAATGAATTTATTATCGAAGTTGCCCATTCAATAATTAAATTTTTGAGTCCATATTTCTAATTTTAAAATGTATACATATGTTATTCCATAGTCTCTCTTGGTAATTTAGAATCATTACACTTTTAATCAGATTTTTATTTACTATCATAAATTTCAATTATAACATCTTTTAATTATTTAAGAGTTAAATTTCTAACATTAATTTATTATGGTATAGAATTTACTTATTGTGATTATTTTGATTAAAATATTTAATTATTTTATTATTAATTCTTCATATAAGCTTATATTTGATAAGTATCACTTTATTTTTAATTAATTTCATTATTATTTTATAATTAAACTTTTTCACCTTTTGAATGTTCAATCAATAAATCTAAATATCTTCTATTCTCATTTTCTAATTCATTATTTATTTATTATAATTCTTTTAATTCTTATCTAAGTCTAATTTCAACACTTTTATCTACTTATTATTAATTATGAAATATTTTTTGAAGATAATTTAACATTCTATAGAACATTACTCATATCATTAAAAATAGATAAATGTATATCATGAATTTTACTAAATATT